TGTTGACTTCTTATGTGTTTTACCCTATGAAAAACCACAAATAAGCATCAATCTGAAGAACTAACGACTCTTAATAGACCTAGCATTGTTATGGACCTTGTTCTTTAGGAGACGGATATCTAGAACCCTGAAAAACTCAGTATTTCATGATTTTTGTTAGACGGAATTCTTTAGTCCGAGTGAACTATCATTCGAAAATAAAGTGTGATTGTATTTGTGGTGAAATACAAATTCAATATTTTCAAAGTCAGCAACTACAAGCATTTAGAAACACAATTTGACTTTCCAAACATCCAAACATTTGCCTTTTTAAAATTATCAGCACGATAAGAATGTTAGCGTTAAAATAGAAAGCTCAGGTTCCTGCATATTTTTTTAACAAAAAAATAAGATAGAATTGACTAAATGCGTCCTATGGCCTATGGCAAATCTTTCATGCATGTACATTATTAGTGAACAATAGATACAATATGTAGGTCCTCAGATAAGAGTTGATCGGGATGAGATGGTGTTGGTTGTGGTGGTGATGATGGTTGGGGGGAATTAAGACTGGCATTTGAAAATAAAATTTAGCCATGCATAATGGCACCTATGGGCCCCTCAAAGAAATATTTGCAATGCTTCTTTACGTGCAGAGGGTATGACACTCTCTACACGAGGCATCGGAGTGAACGTCCCAAAGCTGACCGGACGTGGCTGCTAACTTAGACACTCAACACAGCCAAAAGGGGCGCCCCACTTCGGCAAGGGTTTTACTGCCGGTCGAAAGAAGACCAAAGTGACCATATTTATATTCCCCAGTCACCATTGGGTCATCGGTACATAATACGGTTTGGTAAAACATCAATCATCTACCTAACCTTATTCATTTGCTTTGTTGCTACTTTCATGTCTTTATAATTACCAATAACAAATGAAACGTTTTGAAAGTTCGTATTGGTGACACTGCCCTGAAAAATTTCTGGACCCCCCTTTTTCACTGACACCGGTACGTAATGGTTGAGTGTTGGTTGCTTAACGTCCACTTGCAAATATTCCATGCATGTTCAGGATAAGCACGAATTATTACGACATACAATAGGTATGTCCTGTTATAGAGGCCGTTCGGAATTACGCGGGGAAGTTTGGACTGCCGCTGGATAAATTGAAGGTATACTGTGGATTCATTATTATTAGTTGGATACCAATTTTCGTTGATTTCGTGGGTACAGGTGAACCACGAAATTAAATGTTCAACGAATGACAAATTTTCTATAGGCTTGAATGCAAACGTCGGCAAAACCACCAAATTAAATATCTATGAACATGCAAGTTTTCCTGAATCCACGAAAATTGGTACTCACGAAAATAATGAATCCACAGTATTAGATAGGGACAAAAATTTTGCCTTGCAACAGGCCACCTACGGACTCCTCATAGAGTTGTTGCAAGGGTTCTCAAAGTGCAGAGAGCGTGGCACTTTCTCTACACGAAGCATCGGATCTAACATCCCTATTCTGACTAGACGTGGCTGCGTACTTGTACATCCCGCACAGCTAAACGGGTGCCCCGCTTCGGCGAGGGTTTTACCGCCGGTCAGAAGAAGACCAAAATGACCATATTTATATTCCCCAGTCACCCTGTGGGGTCACTGGTACATAATGCGTATAGGTTAAACATGTTTGCAAGTCAATAATCTACTTAAACTAAGACAGTGGTGTTAAAACACAAGATGAGAATAGACTTTATCAGAGTTGTCTCATTGGCAAGCATACCACATCTTCTTATTTTTATATTTACCAAATTCTTTCATAGATAAAAAAAAAAGATTTGGTTAGAAAGTTTGGCTTAACCTGTCGAATTCTTATTCAAAACGAGATATCATATCCTAATTTTTACTGTGATGTTGTTTAAATAGCCCGTAAGTTTATACACGATCCATGTAAACTATTTGATCCTTAAGATAAACTTATTCTAATCTAAAAGGAAAGGTTATCAATTTAACAGTAGCAAAATCTTTAAATATTGTTTTATCGGTACTAACATTCAATTTGTTTTTGAAAAATTAAAACATAACTAATTAAATAGATCGTACAACCTCTCGATACTGTTTACTTATATTTTGGCATTGCACAAGTTCATGCGTTTCTATGACGTCTTTACTCTAAATCCGTTGGATATATACTGATTGGTTGATACACTACTCTTGAAGAACATGACTTATCTTTTAGTTGTAATTTTCTTTGAATACCTATCAGTAACTACAAGTACTCTTATTTCGGTACTTTATGTGTATTGTTTTTATGATAGATGTTTGTGTGTCTCGTGCCGTTATTTTGAGTTAAGCCAATTGCAACTGATGAGTACAGTTTGTTCTTATGTTGTGCTGTTACACAAGTGTCCCAAGTTAGGGAGACGATTGAAGGCCCACATGTATAACCCTGCCGCATTCTTTATGTGTCTGTCCAAAGTATAGAGCCTGTAGTACAATGGTTATGTCTGTCATAATTGTTTTTCGTTAATTGTTTAGTTATAAATTAGGCCGTTAGTTTTCTCGTTTTAGTTGTTTCACATTTTTTATATCGGGGCCTTTTATAGCCGACTATACGGTATGGGTTTTTCTCATTGTTGATGCCGTACGATGGACTGTAATTGCTTATTACCACTTCATTTTTACTCCGGTGGATAGTTGTCTCATTGGCCATCATACCACATCTACATATTTTTATACAAAAAAAAAAAAAAAACAAAAACAAAAAAAAAACAGTTGGACTGTCATCTAATGCATTCGGCAAACAATGTTCAACGAGCTTCCCTGGCCGCTTTCGTTTAGGCGATGGACCAACATCTGCATTTGAAAGAGATTCAAATTGTGAAAAGTAAGAGGCATTGAAGTTTTATTGTCTGTAATATATTTTTTAAAACTTTATTTCATCTGGAATAACGTTGAGCTTTCTAGTCTTCAATAGAAAAGTTGTTGACGGATGTGCGCTGGGAATAACGTTGAGCTTTCTAGTCTTCAATAGAAAAGTTGTTGACGGATGTGCGCTGGTTAAAACATTTCAAGTTTGGCTTTGGATGACTGATAATTGTATGGTCTACTATTTCGACAAAGTTTACAGATATAAATTTACAATAAAACACAGAAAAAGGGTCGCTGATGCCATCTCGAATACCTAAAAAAGAAATGTATTTGTGGCGGTTTTTGTCAACGAATTGTACAGTGATTATTTGTAAGGGAGCAACGAACTCGACAGATTTAGTGAAACGAACGGTACAGTAAGAGAAAACTTATTTAGTATGATATCGTGTTTATTCTGAGTTCTAGGGAACATTTGAAGGCACGAAGTAATTTAACGTGTAGTTATTAGTCTGAAACTTGCAACAACTTTATAATTGATTAGATAAGCTACCATGTTCATGTACACATTGATATATATTTAAACAAGTTCTAGAAAGGCATTCGAAATTGTTGTCATCCCAAATGTTGTCCTGATTATCGCTTCGAACGCGTCAACGTTCGAATTCATTTGTATCGGGGTTATACGGGGTGTTTTTGTAAACAATAAACGCTCACACAACATGGACAAACAAGTTAAAATGTTATAACGAAATTCTCTGTAATAAAAGCTGCGGATTCTCTGCAAAAATATTGGCTTCAGTTGCCACGAAATCCACATATTCTATTAAATGCAATGAAATATTATTGCTGTGAAAGACATTTCCCTTTAGTATATGTACAAAATTTCACGTCTCTTTTATTCAGTATTTTTGCTGTTATGATGTTATTGCACTTTGAAAATTTCGTAATACACAGTCCTACAGAAGGGGTCCTAAATTTTTAACTTGACTGATATAATAATATTAAAGGGGAAAATTCCGAAGAACAAGGAAAAAAATTAAATTGCTTGCACGCTTATTATCTCTTCATTTGTGCTTTTCATTAGATTTTGTATAGTGTTGTATTTGAAATAAAATTGACTGCGGTGCATTCAATATTGTTGAACCTTTTTCTTCACCTTGAACCTGTCTACAAGCTTCGTGTGTTTTTCATTTTTCCCCATTCGCCTAATAAGAAATAAAAACATAGGAGGAATCAGAATAATAGGTGGACTACATTTTAAGATATATTTTAAACTTGCCATTATAAGCTGCCGTTACTAAACATCCTCGTTGTCCGCACTGGATATATCTGAATATAGATTTGATTTTAATTCAAAGTTGGAAACAACATCATCACTGTCTTCAACATTGCTATCTTCTTGTCGAAAAGTAGTTTGCGTCAAGAAAATACTTTCATCGTCGTCTTTATCTATTTATAAACACCAAATGCATATGAAGGTATTCACGGAAAATATATATTATGTAATCCTAGAGTACGCAAAAAGCATGATACACATGCACTGTGTCTTCATGTACCTATACATGTAGTTTACCTTCAACTGTACTTTACTTTATTTCTTTTGTTTTATGTTGAGCTACTGTTTAAAGGGGCCAACATGTTGGATAATATTAATCAAGTTTATCCAAAACTATTTACACACTTGATGAAAAAAAAATCTAACAAACACTTTTTTTTTGTATGCTTTTTCACCTTCTTTGACAAGTTAAACAATGTTTTAAGTAATATATAAGCCTCTGACAGTCCATTCTGTTATAGGCTTATATCCCTTACATAATTATTATCTCCTCAGTGTGATTGTATATCCTCTGTATACACAAAATCAATTTGCTAATCAGACAGGTTAGATGGACAACAAACACTTGTTCGAACTATATATTATTGTTTATGTGGAATAAAAACACAAGTGTGAAAGTTCATTTGATTTAGTTTGAACCAGTGATTTATGTGATAGATATTCAATTTATATTTATTACTAAAAAAGTTCCAGTTTATCACACAAGATTTGAAGTAAAGTAGAGAAAATAGTATACATATTTTTTTAATATTACAGATCTTGCTTGGATTATGATCTTATATAATTCATAGACTTATATGAGTGTTGTTTTATTGTAGAGTGGATGCACAGCATTACACGCGGCTGCTATTGGAGGACATCTCAAGGTCGTACAATGGCTAATTGCAGAAGGTGGAATGGATCCCTTGGATAAGACAACACAGGTAATATTGGATGTTTTATATGTTTAATAGTGAATCATTAAAAACACCAAACACAACAATCAACCGTCAACCATTACAGACATGTAGCCAACAATCAAACAGAATTTGGTTTTCTTCACATCATTTACAGAATTCGGAAAATTAAAGGTTTGACAAATTGTATAGACACTTGTCTGATTTTAAAGATTGCATGATGCCCTCTAAAAATAGAGAGATGTTACTTTCCAATTGTGTTTTGATTAATTTTCTTTTCATTGAGTTGCATTGAGTCTCATTAATAGTTTTTCCATAAAATTTTTATTTATATTTTTAAATACATTTCAGTTTCTACGTTACATTGAAGTGCAGTCTCAAACATTCTGGCGAGGATTTAAATAATGAATAGTAGAAATTCATTTAAAATCCTTGTACTTATAGGGTCTTGGCATCGGCACTAAACACATTTATTTCCTAACGGGAAGGATTGTGCCTGATATTCATATGATGAAGACATAATCTTTAAATCAGTTTAATTGAAGTCTGGAGCTGGCATGTTAGTTAACTGCTAGTAGTCTGTTGTTATTTATGTATTATTGTCATTTTGTTTATTTTCTTTGGTTACATCTTCTGACATCAGACTCGGACTTCTCTTGAACAGAATTTTAATGTGCGTATTGTTATGCGTTTACTTTTCTACATTGGCTAGAGGTATAGGGGGAGGGTTGAGATCTCATAAACATGTTTAACCCCGCCGCATTTTTGCGCCTGTTCCAAGTCAGGAGCCTCTAGCCTTTGTTAGTCTTGTATTATTTTTAATTTTAGTTCCTTGTGTACAATTTGGAGTTTAGTATGGCGTTCATTATCACTGAACTAGTATATATATTTGTTTAGGGGCCAGCTGAAAGACGCCTCCGGGTGCGTGAATTTCTCGCTGCATTGAAGACCTGTTAGTGACCTTCTGCTGTTGTCTGTTCTATGGTCGGGTTGTTGTCTCTTTGACACATTCCCCATTTCCATTCTCAATTTTATTATAGTCTATTTTTTTGGATATACAAGTGCTTTGGAGAGTTTTAAGATTTATTGTAATAAAAGTAAATTAAAAAAAAAATGCAAAAGTTGAAACTTTTAACTTTGTAAAAATCTTAAAAAAAAGAGAAGTCAAAATAGCTGGTGCAAACTTAAATTCATAACCTGTTAAACTTAAAAGATGTCTGCTTTAGATCATCTCCTTTGAACATAGGATTTCTCTGTGTCAAGAATGAGCGATGTGCATGCAAAGAAATGGTTTGAATAGAATGAATACATTGGTTGGTGTTTAAATTGCAGTGGCAAATATTACATACAAACCAGAACGATAACATTCATATTGAAGTAACTTGAACCGTGTTTTGTAAAAGCACGATGCTGAGTCGAACTTTTTCTACCCTAGATCATAAGGCTGTAGGAAGAAAAGTTCAATTTACAAAGACAACATACATGTAAACATGGGATTTTGCATGTTTTACTTTCTTCTCGAATGCTTCTTATGATACTGAAATACGATTAATGTTCTTTATTTTTAATTAACAAACACCACTTATTTGTATTCTCTGTTTACTTCTTTCTGCGAATATAAGGAGATGTTTGGTATATGATAATTAAAAAGCAACCCAGCAACACACACAAAACAATAACACATCTAGAGATCAACACGCAGTCTTTAAAATAAAAAGAAACAACATTTTATTGAATTGGTGGTTCCGATGCGCTTTTCTGGATTAACCTTCAACGATAAAATGACAATAGATTTTTCAACCTCTAAAGGTCTACGTCTAGGAACGTTGTGAATGCATTAAACAGTGACTTTCAAGGATCTGGCAACAATTCCCTATCGCATGATTAGCACTTGGGTTTCCAATTGGGAGAGAGAAATAGACATGGTTATACTATTTTGTTCATTACTTTTTCATCTTCTTTTAATTTTGATCAATGTAAAAATTAAAGGTGCATAAACGAATGATAAATAACAATATTTATCAAAATAAGGAGACGTGGTATGATTGCCAATGAGACAAATATCCACCAAAGTTCAAATGACGAATATAAGTACACTTGACTCTCCATATTTATAGTATTGATTCATTTTAAGAACATAACACACAAAAAGTCTAGATGAGAAAGTTTCATGAACGCATAGACACCGCCAAGGAATAAAACATGCACTCCAGTTAAAAGAATTTTTGGCACATGCCTGCGGAGAGTACGATAACCGTAATATATGTATTACTGGTAAATCATTAAGTCAGCGATTTCATTACAACAAATTACTTAAAACCGTTACGAAATTCTTCCATAGATACAAAAATTGAGTTTGCAAGTTTGGCTGCACCTATAGAAAACTTATTTCAACCAGGGTCTTCAACGCAGCGAGAAAATCCCGCACCCGGAGGTGGTCCTTAGCTGGTCCCTAAATAAAATTGTGTACTGGTTCAGTGAAAATGGACGTCACACTAAACTCCAAAACATATAAAGGAACTAAAATTAAAAATTCATTCAAGACTAACAAAGGCCAGAGGCTCCTGACTTGGGACAGGCGCAAAAATGCGGCGGAGTTAAACATGTTTTGTGAGATCTCAACCCTCCCCCTATACCTCTAGCCAATGTAGAATAAAGAAACACATAGCAATACGCACAGTAAAACTCAGTTTAAAAGAAGTCAGAGTCCGATGTCAGAATAGGTAACAAAAGAAACTATGCAAAATGACAGTCCTTTAGATAAACTTAATTTAAAAGGTAACCAATTCAACACTGAAATTAGATCTTTGGGTATTGTGTTATTGGTATACATATTGATTTTGTTATCAGTAAATTAAAACCATACTAAATATTATTGTTATACACATATGCACTTTCAAGGTACAATATGTCGATATCTATATTATGACATTGTTAATGACGTCTTTACAGTTAATCCATTGGATGTTGGATGTGTACTGATTGATATGTTAGTCTTACATACATGATTTTTTATTAGTTTTGATTGGCTTTGAACTAGCTGTCAGTAACTGCCAGTACTCTCAGATCTGTACTTTGTCTTTTTTGTTGTAAGGGATGTATACATACCCTGCCACGTCCGGTCTTTGTTTTTGTAAGTTGTTTTTCTGCTTTGTATCTATCTGCTGAGTTGTAGTTAAGCCCTTTATCAACTGATTGTTATAGTTTCTTTTAATGTTGTGCTGTAACACCACTGTCCAAGGTTAGGGAGAAGAATGAGCACTCTCAAATATCTGTAACCCCGCCACATTCTGTAGGTGCCTCCCCCAAGTCAGGAGCATGTAGTTCAGTGGTTGTCGTTGGTTCATGTAGATCATATTTGTTTTTCGTAAATTGTTTTGTTATAAAATAGGCCGTTAGTCTTCTCAGTTGAATTGTTCATATTTTTCATATCGGGGCCTTTTATAGCCGACTATATGGTATGGGGTTTTCTCATTGTTGAAGGCCGTACGGTTGCCTATAATTGCTTATATCCTCTGCATTTGAACTTTGGTGGATAGTTGTCTCATTGGCAATCATACTACATCTCCTTTTTTTAATGTAATACATTGTAATACGAATCACATCATGGACTTAATATATATCAATATGTATATTGTAAATGCTAGTTACAAAACCGTCAACGTGAGTTAGAAGTCTGCAAACACAAATTATAAATTCTGTTATCAGGATATAAAAATCTTTGATTTTTTTTTTTAGTATTTTTTTCCAACAAATTCAAAAACAATCATTTAAAAAAAAAAAATTGTCCCTGAATTAGTTTTCCAAACTCTGAAAGATGACGAATTACAGGATAGCTTTTTATAAAGAGAATTGCAGGATATATATTGCTGGATAGCTTGACACTAGTCTAACTATTGCCACTCTCAGTCCACAAGTCTTTTCTCTTCCTTACAAATGTTTTCTGAATTAGCATAGGAGTAGCTTCGCTTAGAAGGATCTGACAACTCTCCGTTAAACTTTCTGTTAGGCATTTATTACATCTCCATATGAACTGTCTGCCTCCGAACTGGTTAAGACGTGTAAGATTACCACAAAACCAAAGGATCACGAAAGATGTTAAAACAGAACCTAGAACAGAGTATTGTCAGATCCTTGTAAGCTAAGTGTGGACACATGATCTGTATTTCAATCAGATGGAGAAGTAGTAAATATCAACGTCGTTTGTTTGAACTGACCTGGGATCGACCTCACGTCCTTCTGTAATACGCGAGACGAGCACGAGAAAACGACACCACCAACGCGGTTGTATATTAAAACAAAGGACAACGATATTGTTTTACACTAAATTCTTGTTCTGTTTCTATTTTCAATCTTTTTTTAATCGTTCGTTGTAGAGTCTGACGTAGTTTTTTTTGCGTGTCGGTATATCACTATGAGGCAATTTGTGGCTTGTCACTATTGCCAATGTATAGTTTTCAACTTTGAAATCCTGGAAAATCATAAGACATCGAGTACGGTGTGTGTGTTAGCTTTGGTAACCGTTAATTTGACGTTATTTTTCAATGTCGCATTCTTTCAATTCGTGTAGATAAAATAATGTTCAAAATATTGTGTCATTGTGGTTGTTTTAATTGCTGAGCAACTTTTTAAAACTATTAATTTTAGGCCAAGAAAGAAATATATATATTATTTTGTCAGATATATAATATCTCCAAGAGACATATTCATGAATATTTTAGTCCATGTTTGATATTTAATATATGAACAGATAAACGGATAATGGTGTGACATTATGACTAGACAAAAATATTCGCTGACTATGTCGTTAATATTTTCGACATATAGTCAAAAATGGGTTCAAATAAATCCCTGAAATGTATAATTTTACTAAATAAGTTGAACGTTCATTGCTGATAATTCTTCGTTTAAATGCATGTTCAAAAATTTCAATTTAAAATTAAATTTACCATCAGATCACTAACTTCTACTTTAAGGTTATCCTCCTTTTGTGTCAAAATTATACAATACATATAAAAATTTCTATG